GAATGGATTCATGAGAACAAGATCCAAAGGGCAGAACAAGATCTAAAGGGCATTTTGCTCCAAGGTCTCCCAAATGCCAAGTATGGGGTTTAATATACTTGTTCAAGAGCCTCCACTGCCAACCCCCAGTAATCCTATGGTGGGGGTTCTTAACGTATCTTCCCGGGGCCTCTAATTTTCATTATGGCACTGAGAGGTTATTTGATTTTCACTAAGGCAGGAACAATGGCTGTAAAACTGCAATGCAAATCAAGACACCAGCACCCAATTCTATGAGTCATTTACACTTCGCCACCATGAGCTCACATTGAAAGCAAAAAGAAGAAAATGCCAGTGACACTTAAGAATGCCTTTGAGGAAGGCATTAACAGTAACAAGATCAATTTTATTTAATTTAGAACTTTAAGTACACTTCATATTAACATTATGTGTGGTTTGCACATGGCACTTTAGCACACCTATTGGTTTAAAGGTTTCTTGAGGAAAAGAATCACATAATTGTTCCAGTTACTAGATTTTTTTTTTTTTAAGTTAGGCACCATTTTTACACCTTCTGCTAACTATGGTTTTTCAGACTTGAGTATCTGACATTTTCTCAAAAATAAATAAAGTAAGCCTATTACTTCAAAGAAAACAATTGGCAGTATTTATTGCCAGTGATAAAATCCAAGCTTTCAAGTCCAGGATTCATTACTTAGTATTAAATTATTTAACTCTCTAACATTTTATTTAACTAACATCTTATAGTATGGTAGATAGTGTGATAGATACTTAAAGGTTAGGAAGATAACATTATAAAACATTTTATGTAATACCTCAATTATAAATGCTCAATAAACATTGACTTTTATTAAAGCTCTATCAAGTTAAAGCTATCAGATTGGTTTTTCATTTTTGATTTAACTAAATATGTGATTAACTTCACTGGAAATGTTCAACCTGAGCCCCAAGTAGACACTTCTTAAAAAAATAAATGAATTCATCATTCTTTAATGATAAGACTATAATGAAATGACAACAAAACTACAGTGAAATATAGACAGGTACTGAAATACTAATTTGTAAGCAAAAATTCTCAGCTTGCCAGTTTCCTCCAGGAAGCAAATTGGACTAGTTATGCAGTGATTAAAAAGGCAAATTGTATAGTTATGCAGAATAACACAAAGTATTATACAAGATGCACAAAGCTTACTACTCAAAAGCAGTTTTTCAGTACCAGTGACAGCTGTGTCTTAGACAATCTGAAAGCTGAGGTCACTGTGCGATGTCTTCATCATTATGCTAGTAGAATTAGAACTCATCTGAAAAGTCAGGTGATTTTCTGAATGGAAACACAGAAACAATTCTACCAGGCTTTGGACAGAGATTAATGGGAATTTAGGTTGGGTAAAGGGTAGATTATGAAAAACAGAGAAAGAAAAAGAAACCCCAGTAAATTCTATCATAGCAAGAGAACAATATAGAGATTAAAATAAAGAAAAAAGGAAAGAAAGGTACCAAAGCTGTCAAAACTGTAGGAACCTGCTAGTGGGACTTGATCAGGCTTCTAAAAGGACATTTTAAGATTTCTAAATAATTTTTTCTTTAAAGCATTGTTTGGGCCCAATCTTGTCCACTAGCACAAATGCTAAATTTTGTGTGTAACAACCAAAGTTTATAGAACCATTTTTAATTTTTTGATCACCAGCCCTTTTGTGTGAGATTCCTTCTCTGCCCTCTGAAAGGCATTTCTCTGTAAACACTATTGAGCTGCTTTCTTCATGAACACCACATTCAGACGGCCACCCAAGTTCACCTTGGCCATTTTCCCTTATTTCAGAGAGCTCACTTCCTGGAATATTTTTTTCTTACTGTAATGGCAGGCAGTGCTGTGACCTGCCCTTACTTATAACTTAGTACTTTGCAAGTGAGCAAAGAAATTGTGAGCAAGAAATAGCACTAACTTGGGGTGTGAGCTGGGGTTGCTTGTCAGTGAGAGTAGCAACTACATGCATGTAGAAAGGAGCTGCTGAACGGGCTCATAGCTGATATGAAAACTTCCCCCCAGATTCAGCTACAGCAGCAGCAACCTGACTGTCAATTCTAGTCCAGGAATTCCAATTGCTATTTCAGTTGTTATGGAAACTGATCACACTGGTTCCTAAGGAATCCATTATTTCAACAAATTTTTGTAGTTCTTGTCATTAGGGGTATCTCAGTGATCGATGCAGACACATGGGGAAAAGGAGGACGAGAGAAAGGCTAGTGATTAGAAGAGAATTTTCAGGGAGCTAGAATTTAACCCTCAGCCTAAAGCATGATTAGTTAAGGGAGAAGACATTTCAGGTGAACAGAAATGGCAAACATGAGGAAAGGATTAGCAAAAGTTATGCAGATGGAACTGGAATTGAAGACTCATGTGGAGGAAACTGGAAAATGAGAAAGACACCCCACGGTCAATAGAGAAAGAACTAGAAGGCCAGTCTTGGCAGTGTGGACAAACAGGAAGAAGGATACTTAAAAACAGGGAGGATTGTTCTAGAAAAGTTAATTTTACCTTAGGACCTAGATTTTGGCTAAAATTGTAACTTCATTTGTCTTAACTTCATTTGTCTTAGGTGATATTTAGACAACAATTGGAAAAGTGAAGAAATTCATCCATTTTTCCAAAGACAAAACACACTTGTTTCACTGAGAGCAACTGAGGCTTGTTTATTAAAATTCACCAAAGTAGGTATCGGTCTGCCTATCATATCCCAAGTATTTTTACAACCCTCAAAATGATCTACAATAATATGGTTCCAAGATACTATTCACCATCTGTCAAGGCAGTTGAGCTAAAATCTTACTTTTTAATTAAGGAATAGTAATATATGAGGAAAACTTTTTTTTTCCTCCCAGAGCAGCAGTTAATCAGGGTTGAGATTTCTTGGGGGGCTCAAAGTTATCTAATGCCACAGATTTTATATTGTGTTATTTGACTTTCTGAAGGTCATCTTGTAATAGGGGAGCCAAGATCTTTAGTTATGCCTGGACAGATAGAAATGCATTTTAAAACAAACAATAGGCAACAACAAAGTAAAAAGGCCACTGTGTGATGTCTTCATCATTATGCCAGTAGAAGTCATCTGAAAAGTCGGGTGATTTTCCAAATGGAAACACAGAAAGACTTCTACCAGGCTTTGGATAGAGATTAATGGGAGTTCAGGTTGGGTAATAGGTAGGCTATGAAAAACAGAGAAGGGAAAAAGAAACTCCAGGAAATTCTATCATAGCAAGTTAACAATATAGGGTTTAAAAATAAAGAAAGAAAAACAACAAGTAATAACCATGCTTTACTATTTTTAGAACCCTTAGTACTATTTGGGGAACCACATTATAAAAATACAGATTTATGTGTGGTAATATAGGTTCATTATTTGGATTCCGGACTGTCAAGTTTAAAGTTTCTCCTGTTTCTAGTTTGGCTCCTGGGATAAAAGCTGGACAGAAACTATAATTTATTGTGTATAGACTAGATGCCAAGAAAATTGATTAAAGTTTTATGTACAAAAGGGTATTTCCACTGAATTTATGTTGATGAGTGTCTCTTCAGAAAGAAATAGAAATGATGTACTTTTACTTTTTGAAGAGAAGGCAAAATAAATGTGTCAAGAGTCCATTAGTGTAGCGAAGGTTAACTAGAGGCAAACAGGTCAGAAGTAAAACTCAGGTTGGGTCCAAGACTTTTACTGCTTAAGACACACTGTTATTCTGGACTAGCATTCTTCCTCTCATGACCCACTAATCCCTTCACTACCTCATTTATTTCCCTGCTTAAATGTCACCTCCACAAGGAAGCTGTCCCAGATCAGTCTGTCTATAGCAATCAATCACTTCTATCCCAAACACTCCAGTCAAGTTGTTCTCTCTTTCACCTCGTTCTTTCCTTTCTAATAATTTTCAAAGTTTGTGGTAATAATTTGGTTCTTCTTGTCATGTAAGAGGGAAGCTCTTGGTCCCTGATCGGCCAACATGGTCCCATATACCAGAAGTTGTTGATGGATGAGAGCTGTGCGAGAGAGTCCAGTGGTCACCAACACAGTGGAGTGGCAGAATGGGGAAGGTCCTAGAATGAGTAACTACAGCTGTCTCCTCTCTACCACCTGTTGGTTGAATGACCTTGATCAAAATTCTTAAATTTTCTGGGACTCAGTTTCCATATCAGATGAGAGAAATTTACTGAGAAATTTTTAAGAAGGCATTTTGACTTTAGGGTACAAGATTCTAAGTGCATCCAATTATGGATGCTGATAACATTCTTTTCCCCACTCATAGGAGAGGTATGGCCATCTCATTATTTCTAAGTATACCTAGCTGTGTTATGAAAAATGTTCACATAGATATATTAACTTTTCTATAGATGTGAATAATCAAAAGGAAAAGTACTAAGTTTGGGGAGTTACTCTGACATATTTGGTGTGATTTTAACTGCTGTGCAACTAGTTTCATTTATTTTCATGAGAAAAACTGGAAATCCAGGTCTTACACTTATTAGCTGTATGGCCTTTTGAGTCTCAGTTTTCTGATCACTGTGATAGATAAGCACCACCCCACCAGTCTAAAGGACAGAGTGAGGCTTAAATAAAATAACCTGGAACATATTAAGTGCACAAAAATGTTGGTTAATGTCAAATGAATTTTTTTCCACACTTTATTTACCAATGAGATTCATGTGGGCAAAAAGCAAATGAGATTGTTTTTACTATTAGCTGCAGAAGTGCAGGGTATGGTTATTGAGATACATTTGACTCTGTAGTCACTGACATTTAATTTAGGTAGGAGAGGGTCATTGTTCAAACAGAAAAGATGTTAACATGAATTTGGGATCTCATTTACCATTGGAATCATGATATATTTGCTATTATAAAGCTAAGCTCAAAGATTTGATATTTCTTGAAGTCCAACTTTTTTCAAACTGATAAGATACGAAGTCAAAGGCATTGTAAAGCTGTATAGAAAATTTGAGAGCTGTTACTCACCAATCATGAAAATAATTTTACACTTCTTCAAATCTTCCATGAAACCTTTGAAGACAAGAACAATTTCAGTTATTGACAACAAACACTCTAATGGAACCCTAATTTTATTATGGCACTAAAAAAAAACCAAATCATTTAATTTTATTTCACAAGAAGTTTGATGCCAATAAAGGTGTGAATAGGTCACTTAAGTTAACATTCAAATTTTCTCGCCCCAGGATGGACAAACCAAACAGTTGAGGCTGGAAGCATGCCTCCCTGGATAGATGTAAGGGAGGGCATCTGAATACTTCATTATTTTGTTAACCCTGTGCTGAGAAGCTTTTTAAATTACAAACTACTCCACCGAGTCAAAGATATAATATGACATAGGGTATTGTGATTTTTCACCTTATGAAAAGTTTACAATGAAATTTTCAAGTAAAGACACTAGAGTTCAGTGATATTAGATGTTTTCTGTTTGGAACCCTGGGGCCCTGGGTATGCATTCTAGACTCTGGCTGCTGAGATTCCTGGCACACCCGCCTTGGGGAGAAGCCCAGAGAAAGCGCCAGGACCCCCTTAGGTAGGCAGCCCTAAATCCCTTGTCTAGATGGAACTGTTGGCTTTTCTCCTGGTTCTGGAAGCAGCTACTTTTACCCAGCCAAGGGCATGAGTGGATAAAATGTCAGAATGGCAGACGGAGAGGTAGTAGAAGATTTTTATTTCCCATCTTATGATAATATTGCCATTTTTACACTTAAATAAACTGATAGCAATATGACTTCATGTTTCATGGAGATGAGTACTTCTAGAAGTTATACCATTCTCATTTTTCAGTGGAATTTCAGTGGCTCGTTCATATGTTCAATGCTCTGGTTTTGCAGGAGTCCACTATTAGCTGAACCAAAGTGACAACTCTTTGAGTGAGAAGCAGGGTGAGAGAAGCAGGGCCGGGGATCGCGGGGGAAGGAGATAGGGAGAAAGAGCTGAAAGATGAGGAAAGAAGTGAATTTGGGCTTCTTTGGAAACATTTGGTTTTCATAGTGATGTCTGACTTTTGAAATTCTTTTTAATCAAGACATACTTTTATCACTTTGTGACTGGAAAACATCCTACTTTAAGTAGAGTTTTGTAACAGTGGCAAATACCTTGGGGCTCTTACCACCTGGGATCACAAGTCATCTCATGTTCTCCAGACTGCCAGTTCTGCTTATGAAGCTGAGCAACTTTTAATCTATTTGCAATCTAGGAAAGTACCTGTGGTCATCACCATTATTATTTTTGGTATGATTGCATCATATTCTAGTTTTTAAAAGATATTTTTAAAAACAAATGATGGCATATTCACATATCACCACTGCAAATTAAGTGTACATTTTTTTTACAGTGATAAAGGAACATGCATATGTTACGATGAGCACAAAATATTAGAGGTAATATTTGCATATACACATTATAAAGATTTTTTTAATGACACATACTGTTATCTCAGGCACAGTAGTAATAATTGTGCATTCTTGGCTATGTAAAAACAGGTATATAAACAACACACTGGGACAAAATACATTAGAACAGGAACCGTGATTACTTACAGGCAACCAGGTTTTATGTGATTCTCAATGTTTACCTTAAAAAATTTTCCACAATGAATATGTGACAATTTTCTAACCAGGAAAAAAGGAAATTTATTCACCAATCAATCAATCTCTATCTAGTTGGGACTGAGATGGTTATTTACTCTTCGCTTATATTTATGTGCCTTTCCCCATGAATCACCACGATGTCACTTGGTGACAGATTTTCACATATTGCTATTGCCATTATCATCAAATGACACTTTATCTAGGACCTCACACTCATGGAACAGTGTAGGATTAGAGCTGAGCTTATTTAGAAAGCCCAGATCACTTACTTGTATGTGCCCACAGTCAACATAAACATATTTTTATGGGCCACAATTATAACAACATTAGTTATGGGGCAGAAGTGTAGAAGTTATTTTACCTAGGAAGTATGAATTGTATCTTCTCCATGCAACCTCAAATTCAGAAAGTTTTACCTATTTTTTGTTATATGTATAGCTAATTATGGGAAGAATTTTTCAGTTTTTGCAACATGTTTAACATGCCAAAATGGTAAAGCATTATAATGTGGATATTTCTTACGCTGCATCCCAATGGTACACTATTATGCAGGAAAAAGTGGCAACAAATTTGAAAAATGTTAGACCAAACTGGCTGTCTTACTGCAGGACTCATGGGTGTGCCTTGAAGCAGATGCTTCCAGAAAGTAATGAGTGTTGTTTTCCAAACAAATTTTACCAGGGCACCCTCTTTTGTGACTATCTTGACAGTCATGTTCTCTAGGCAGGTAAGAGGCATCTCTTGGTGAGCCACCCCTTTGATCCTCAACATGGAGGAGAAGGGGCAGATGCCAATCATTCCCATTTTTACCATGTTCTTTGGTTAAATGAAGTACATGCAGCTAGCATCTTGGATCCCATAGTTGGTGTTTAATAAAAAAGACAAGCTTAAAGTTACTAAAATGACAACGGTGGCCTGATTGAGAAAAGAAACTCACCTCCTGTGGTATCCTCTCCAAAGACATTTAACTGGTCTTCACCCTGTTTAAAAAAATAGTTGATATTAGGTGATATTATTTTGCCAACAACATACTTAACCATCCCAACAAGTTCATGAAAGACCTGCTATTAATAGCCACTTTTTGCAGATGAAGAGCCTGAGAGTTTGAGAAGTAAAATTGCCTGAAATTATCCACATTTGAAAAAGGGCTTTCTGTCCCCAGAGCTCACGCTTTTCTTTAATGGTACAAAATCTTGCTTCATTTTCTTGCTGCAAACCTACCTACCTGTGGACAGAAAAGCTGGCTTCAGAAAAACAAAGCCTTCAGTATCCAAAACTTACAGGTAGGTATAATCACCACTGTTTTATAGCAACTCCATAATTAAAACTGTACATGGTAAATGTCTGTAAATATTGTTATCATTTTGAGCCATGTGGTTGCTTTTGCAAAGGTTTAACTATTGGCCACAGCTTGCCAATCCTTGAACTGAAGTATGAAAAAAGAGAAGCTGGAGTGACCAACTCTGATTGAGTTTTTCTTTTTCTTTTTCACTCAACCAGCTGCCTCATTTTCTTCACAGAATAAATCATGGTGGTTAGGGGACAATCCAGAAAGAAAGTTTACAGGAAAGCTGTGGATGAGAATTCTCACTCTCAGTTATGTTTCTGTCCACCCCATTTTCCCACTCCTAGTAAATGCACAGAAGTTTCTATTGTAATGTTCCAGATATACAAAAACTGACTTCCAGATATATTTGAAAGTATCTATAATATTTGGATTTACTTTAATGTAGATATATAATCTCTTTGCCACTAGTTGGTACACAGAAAGCATATTTACACTATACATGTGTCTATCAAATACACACTATTCTATAATACTGTTCTACTCATGCGTTCTCACTTATCAATAGATCCTGGACAACTTTTTAACTCAGGACTTCATGTTCTTGGTTGTATGGTTTTTTGTTGTATGGAAGGTAGAATAGTTGTTTCAACTATACCTTTATTGATGGACTACTGTGTTCTTTCCAGCCTTTAGCTATTTTTTAAAAAGTAGCACATTGGCCAAACTCTCAGTGCCATTTCATACATATTTATCTGTAGGATAAATTGACAGATATGTGAACGTGAAGTCAAAGAGTAGTGTATTTACAGTTTTCAGAGATCTGGCCAAACTGCTGTTCATAGAGGTTGTGCCAATTTGCAGGGGCAGCTTCTGCTCACATGCCACTGGAGTTCCTTGCCTCTAATTCACTTAGATGCAGGAGTTAGTCAGATGAGGTCGTCTAGTCACATTAATGCTTCCTTGATGCAAACTGCCATGAAAGCACTTTGAAAAAAGCCTTGTCACCTTTTTGGGGAACACCTGCCTTCAGGGCAACTTTACTGCTTGTTCATTTTTAGATTTGCCTGTGTATCCAGAATTATTCTAGGTGAGAGAAGAGTCTTTACTGGAATGGTAATTTGGGGACACATTAACATTGATCAACTCCCTCCCATGAACAGCAAAAACACATCAATTATTCTCCAGAAAGTCTCCTCACTATTTCCTTTGTGGAAATCATTGCAGTTTGGAGCAGGAAAGATGGGGGGGGGGGGGGGGAGGTCATCTAAACCCACCCTTCCAGCTTCTCTCCCATTTTATCAGTGAGGAAATTGATAGCTAGAGAAGTCACGTGAGGCGCCCATGACCATGTCAACACGCCTTCCTGATGTCAGGATTGGGATGAAAGTCACACCTCCTACCATGTAGCATGGCTCCTGGCATTTAGTCTCATCAGCGTAGGTGCCTTCAGTAGCAGTGGATGCTGCCGCCTCCCTAGCCAGGGCAGCCACCCCCCAGCTGCCAAGGGCTCAGTCTGGCCCCTCCTTGAGTCCCAGAAGTCCCCTCAAGATCAGGCGGAAGCCAGCATGCAGTGGAAAGGCATCCTTCCTCATCTTCTCCCCTTACTCTATCCTGCATCTCGGAGCATCTCCTAAGGCCCTTCCCTAATAACATACTTGCAAAGGAAACAGCTCAGGGAAGCTCTTCTGAGCTAAGGACCTATTCTTATATGTTAGCTTAGACGCAGCTACATAGCAAGAGTTTCAATAGTGCTTGCTAGAAAAAGACTGTTTCATCAGACAGCCTATTTCTTGTCAACAGTAATGTTAAGAGGAAACCTTTGAGTCCCCACCCTTATTTTTCATGGTTGTTGGATTATCAGACTTAGCCCCACCTTGCAGGCTAAACTGTATAGCTCTTCCCTGTACGTAGCTATCATGTTTTGGGAGTTTGGTCATGGTACTTTGAACTTGTAAAACAATGTGCCGTGTAATTAAAGAACCTGTCTGACCTCTGGCTAATTGAGTTTGACCTGTTTCTGTCCATAACTCTTACGGCTTTCCATTCTGTGTGCCCAAAGACTTCAGCGAGTGCCAGTATTATTTCCATCGAGGCACTGATGGTGAATAGGGTTCTGGGACACAGCTGTAAGCTGTCATCTCCTCTCCTGCAGGAATTCAGTGCCCTCCTTCACTATGTGAAAGCCCAGGTGAATGGGATGTTTGATTGAAGTGTCTTGCCTACTATCGATGCTCAAGTAGCCCATGGTTTCAATAGGAATCTTTTGTCAGTAAAATTAATCGGGCACTTGAAAAACACACACACACACACACACACACAGATGGATGAATGAAAGGCCAACACTTTTGGTTTTGGTAAAAAATGATGCTGTATAACCCATAGAGACCCTACATCTTGCTTTCTTCTTTTCAAATGCTAGATGAAAGGGCATTAGTTTCAGAATGTCAATTATACAAAGAGCAAAGTGTTATATAGGCTTATTGGAGAAATCTCTGAGAAGGTATTTATACTTAGACATGTACCTGATCTTCTCTGCTGCATATTTTGAGAAAAGCAAGACCTGCCAACTTCCACCCTGAGTACTGAGAACCTCTTGTTTTACAACTTTTTACTGCGATGCCCACTCCATCTTGCCAACTCTTTGTCACTTGCATGTCAGAATTGGGGGGCAAGACTTCATGATTGTTCAATATTAAACTAGAATATGGGTTGCATGAAGCAGGATACTAAATCTGAAGAAACTGACAAGAAGCAGTGGAAGTACAGGCACAGATTTTATGTAAGTGGCATTTATGCCTCGCAAGTACTGAGCCAAGACAGCCTGTGATGACGTGATGAGCATGGGTGAAGGGGGAGCAAAAAGCAGCAAAACTTGCAAAAAACCAGATTCAGATTGCCACATTTTTTTATGCTGTGTATCTGATAATATAGAGATACCTGGTGGGGAGAAATCTACAATCTACAATTGTGTGAAGGGACACAATTCAGAATCTCAAGATAGAATTCATAGCTTTATGGGGAAATTGCACATTTGAACCAATCTCCTGATCTAGTAATAAAAAGAGCAAAAGCTATCCACGTTCAACTTTATCTCCCTATGTGGATGTGTAAAGTGGAGGAAAGGAACGTCTTTTGCAAGGCTGGATTCTGACACCGTTACTTGTGAGGAGACAGCTAATGTGTGTGTCTGTTTCCCTTTGTGAGCAGAGCTCCAATGTTGCCACCTGAAGATCAGGTTGTCCTGTCACTCCCAATTCCTTGACTTACTGAATTTTGGGTGGGAGAGAGCAAAATAGAGCAGCATCGTTTCAGATGGGCTCACGAGCTGCAAGGAGTTACATACTTCCAGCAGCTCGTGGGTGCTGGTCCAGTTGCACATGGCTCCATCACAAGCCAAACACACCAGCCTACAAAGCTGACATTTCAACTGTGTTTGTAGTTGTAGGAGTGTTGTGGCAGGTGTGACCTCACTGGAAGGCTGCTATGGCCCTGTGGCTGTGGAACGGCATCACTGAGGCTCTGCTGTGCCACTGGATGGGGCTGTGACTCAGCTTCGTTGCTGCTCAAAGCTGGACTGGGGACTGACTTCAGTGCTGGGACCCCAACCTGCGCTTCAGAGACTCTTAGGCAGTGTCCCCTTGCTGGGGGCAGGAGGGGTGGCCTGGGACTCCTACTGGCCTTTTTTTTTTTTTTTTAAAGATTTATTTATTTATGCATGCAGAACTGGGGTACAGGCCAGAGGTTCAGGGTCAGTGAAAGGATTCACCAGAGACTGACTGGGGAGCATAACAGGCAGACAGACGAAGTACACTGCTGACAGGAACAGCGGGCGGGTCAGGAGAGGTCTGCTGCGCCACGTGGTCACTTCCGTGGTGGGGGATTCAACTCACATTGAAGCTGCTGTGGCTCTTTTGCAGTGCTGCGCTTTACCCCACTGCGCCTCCAGGGTGGCCCTTACTATCCTTCTTAAGGAGACCATATGTGATTGAATCCCCCCCCCTCACCCCCAAGCCTGAAAGCAAAGCTTTTCTGGGAAGGAGGAAGAAATAGTAGGCCATTTTGGGGGGTGTCATCCTACTTCTGAGTAATCTGGTTGTATTAGACAATTCGTGTGTTTCATGGTATAGAAATGGGTATTGCTTTAAATGAGATGATGAGGAAAGGGCTTTACTTGAGAACAAAATGTTACAGTTAAAATTAATTTCTTGCCTTAAAATTCACAAATGCTGCTGACTACTTTTTTTTTTTTCTGGTGATAGTGAGCAGACATCAACTTCAAAATTAAAACACAAAAAGGATGTCAAAGGTGTTTCCTAGGTTCTGAGACAATGTGAGCAGCAGCTTCTTCTAATTTTTTTCTTATCTCCTCTAGTGCTAGGTAGACAATACTTATTCTGGAAGAATTATGAACCATGAAATGGTAGCAATGAGGATTTTCCTACATTTTCATTTAAATTGATATAATGATTTCATCTCTGGGTATAAGAAGCACATTCTGCCATTCTCAGAAGTTCACTGAGACTTGTAATAGGAAAAAAGAATAATTAAAAAAGAATAACCCATGTGAGACCAGGCTATTTCCCTATCTTGTAACCTGAAAATAAAAATTTTGGATTCTTTCATTATATCAGTTAAAAACCAGTGATACAGTTCACAAATGACTTTGAAGACACTTCGTGGCACTGCTATTTG